GCAGCAGCAGCAGCACCACCAGAAGCAGCTGTAACAACAGAAAGACAAATAAATAGATGCAGCATCCGTGTTTGGGATCCTTCCACCGAAAACCCTTGCATCCTCGACATTCTCTTGCTGCATACCGCATACCACCTGGACCGGACAAAACCCTGCATGGTTGCACGGACGCAGGAATAACGAAGACAACTTTTAGCATGTTGGGTCTGCCAACCCACTCCCCACCCACAGAGTTCTTGCAAGCGTCGAGGAGGCAACGGCCCTCTTGATCACAGCTACCGCTGCCCACGTCGTACACCTCACTCTGCCCCATTGCCTCAGACTTTGGGCTTGGGGCTTACGGTCACAGAGTCTTTGCTGCACTTTTGATGTACACGGTTGAGCTGGGCTGGGCCGAGGCGCATCCAGCGTCTCCGCAATCCAGTCCCACTTGCCTCGGCCGCCGGCTGCTCGGGCTTATCTGCACGTAAGCAACAAGAAGACTCAGCAAAGTGGCCAAAGCTGGCCCTTCGAAGGACCTGGTTGGAACAGCAGGAGGTTTCGAACATGCAAATGCTGAGCACGAGCGATCCTGCCTCTTGCGACAGCCATCCAACCAGCTCCGAGCCGACCTTGGCTCAGGACTTGGACCCGACCAGGCAGAACAACACAAAGATGACCCACATGATCGTCGTGATCACCATCAGCATCATGTCTACCGTACGCATCACATCCATCGTGGTCATCATCATCATCATCAACAACAACAACATACCACAACACATCACTCACCATCACTCATCATCACTCATCTTCATCGCCGTCGTCATCACCATCTTGTTCTGAATCTGCTCAAGCCAGTGCGAGTAGCACAACAAGCAACGTGTTTACCTCAACGCATGTCTCCGTGCTGTAGCAGCAAAGGCTGCGAGGCGTCGCTACAGGATCAGTTGTCCACGATGAGGATCTCCGCTTGCTTCTCTGAGGCCGCACGCACCGAGCACCTTCACAGAGTAGAATGCGCCAGCTCCAGCACATCACCACCGTCTTCGACTTGGTCCTTGATCCGCATCAAGCAGTCCAGGCAATGAGGGGCGCGTCGGTATATCAATGGATGAATCGCCAGATCAGGGTGCCAAAGAGCCCCATCCGACACTCATCCTCAGCTCTGAAGGCAGAGAGCATCGAATAGACGACAGGTTTGATATGCGGAAGGCGCAGTGCACAGTGGACAGTGAGCAGTACTACCAGTAAGTAGTAGAAACCCTGAAAATCTCGAAAGCCAAAGCCAAGACATTCGGTGGCTCTGCCAAGCAACCACTTTGCTCCAGCGGATGATCTCCTTCAGCCAGACGACAGTCCGTCCACGCATTGCTACAAATCCAGATCCCGGCAGCTTTTGATTCACCAGGAGCACGCCATCTTTGGGCCCTTAGCATCTTCAGGAGTCTGGGGTATTCACAGCTCTAAGTAGATAGGTTTAGACACTCGTGATACATACCTGCTTACCTACCTAGCCCTTCCGACCTACCACCCACGTACCTACGTACATACATCGAATGGATGGATGGCTATCTGGCTGGCTGGAGATGGATGGATGGATGTCTACGCACTTATCTAGGTAACCTGTAGTTCTCTGTGTCTTCACTCATGTATCTGTTTGCTCACTTCTTTCTAGTCACACACTCACTTGCTATATATCTGCTTTGAAAAGTGGCTCACACTAGGCTCCCGACCGAGACTGGTCGCACAAACGCTGGAGGGCCAAGCCCAATGCAACGGCTTCAGCGGCCTGTTCTTCTCCGAACGGCGTATGTTTCCTCAGTGGCTTTTTGGTAGCTGGGCCCTAGAGCTGATCTGATCTCCCGAATCTGCAACAAAACCTGAGACCTCCCCCCATTTCCAGCACCTCAAGTCTACGAAGCCCCGGAAGGCCTCATAAGAAAGACCCGGTAGGGATACCCTAGTTTTCAGCCAGCACTCTGACTGCATGGGCTGCCATCTCTTCCGCAGGGTAAGAGTTCTTCGGTAGCGGGAGAATCCCTGGAACCTCGGCAGCTGAAAAGGTCGACCATGGAGGGCTTTCGGATGGCTCCAACTGCTTCACAGCTGTTCCATGCCCTTGCTTCACGATGTTTAGGGTTTAGGGTTTAGACTGACGGTTGAGACAGATCTCGCACGTAGGTCTGGGGCAAAATAAGTCAGGCCTCGGGCTGAAACAAGTCTCTGGCAGAAGGAAGAGGCGTTCGAGTCTGGGCGTAGGGCAAACACGACACTTACTCCAATCCCTAGCGTGAGTGTAACACAGCCGCCCACACAATCTACACATCTACATTCATTTTATATGTATGTATGGATGTATGTATATATATATATACAATTATGTAGTTATAGGGGGGTGTAGTATACCGTGAACTGTTTCGAGGGGAGTCATCATGCTGCTTCAGGCAGCTCCTGCAGCAGCGTCTCGGTTGGTCAGTTCTTCGGTTGAGCGGACATAAACACACAGGCGATAGACCCTCTGTCGACAGGGCCCCTGCCGACATGAAATTGTGCGACGACTTAGCCACGCTGAAGTGGTTTGGGTTTAGGCTGCTCTAGTGATTAGGCTGTCGGCTCTACGCAGCTGCTGTGGTTGTTGCGGCCATGGATCCTTTCAGATTCAGGCTGCAGGCCTTCGACTTTAAATGGCCTCAATCCATGGGGTCTTGGGGTGTTGTGACTGGCACATGCAGCGTGAGTTCGAAACACTCTGAGTCAAAACCCAGCCCTAAAACCCAGAGTTCTGAACTCGGGAACCTAGGCCACAGCACCAGGCACAACCCTCAACTTGCATCAGCAGCCGGTGCACGTCGTCAGCACAATTGCCAACTGCAAAAACTTTCCCGGCCGCGAACAGGGAGTCCTTGCAGTACAGGGATTTGGGGCTTAGAAGTTGACCTTTCATCAACATGGCCAACAAGGCATCCACGACGAGCGTGAGGACATGAAACAATCTTATCTTGCCATGCAGTTTACATCAGCGCGCACATTGGCATTAATGCAATTCGGCAGGCGGCCAACAGCCCGAAGAAATCAAACACCTTGTGCAACCACACGGCCAATCTCAAGCCTCAAACACCATAAGAAATAGCAATACCTCAGCTCCCAAAACCCTTCAAGACTCAGCCTGAGGGTCGCCGTCACCACTGCGGCTCACCACCTGCAGAGTCCTTGGAGAACGAGGACAAGGATGGTGAACATCCGAAACTCAAGGACAATCTCGACTCAAAGCAAGATTCCTCGCACTCGGCTCACCCTCACCGTGACGCCCTTCAATTCCGAAGCAAATTCTCTGACATCATCATCGTCATCATCGTCATCGAAAGCAACATATCCTCTGCATCAGTATCAGCACCATCATCATCGTCATCACCATGCTGACAGTCATGATCATCATGGCCATCATGATTATTATTGCCATTGGTTAAATTTGCATGGTCAGAATATTCTGGTCAACCTCATGGTGTTCGTTGTTGCCATCTTTACAGTCATGATGCGGTTGGCGACCCTCATCACCCTTGCGACTGTCATCGTCAGTCGCTGAAAGCTTCGGCTTCACGATCCCGGCCAAGGCACCTGTTACCCCACACCCAACCGCAGCATCCAACCGCACGTTCTTAAGTGTGCCAAGGCTCGGAGTCACTTTGACCCAGCCCTTGCTACTCAGGCATGCCGAAGGCAAGAACTCGCAGTGCCTGGGCGGAGACAGGAAGAGAATCTCTTCTTGTATTCCTCTCAATCCTTCTCACCGCGACGATGAGCTGCAGGTCCGGCAGTGGAAGCAGCAGCAGCAGCAGCAGCAGCAGCAGCAGCAGCGGAAGTAGCGTCGTCGTCGTTGCAATAGAGGAGTCCGGTAGTAGTACAGTGGCAGCAGCAGCAGCAGCAGCAGCAGCAGCAGCATTAGCATTAGAAAGTCGCTGTCGAGCGGGATCTTGCAAGTAGTATGTCTGCCTTGCTTACTCATCTATCGACACTGAGATTCGACCGCCGCATCTATAGAGTTGCCACTCCGCACTTCTGGTCTGGATGCTCACCTATGTCGTTTTCGTCCGAAGTCCTTCCCCTTGTCTCTAAGCGTTTGTCCTGACTAGGTTTTTTCGCAGCTTACTTATTTGGTTCATCGTTGTCTTACCATCATCATAAACACCATCACCATGAGCAACAGCATTGAGATCAACAGACGACTTGTTGGATTCCGTCAAGGCTTGCCATCATCATGGTCAGCGTCATGGCTAGTACTGTCCGTGCCATGAATGTCATGGCTGTCTGATCAACACTATCGTTGTGCACAGCACTCTCGCCACCTCTCATGCGAATCACCCGTTTCTTGACCTGGATGTCCTCGTTGTCTTCTTCATCAGCACCATCATCATCTTCATCGGCATCATGATGGTTTTTGCCAACTACTAGCTGCCAGATTGCACGTATGGGGTCCGAGGCACGGCTGCATGCCAACACTCTTGAAGACACGTTCCGGTGGCGGTCGGCCGACCTTCTTCCAGAAGAGCGTGGAATTTGCTTCTGAGTAGCGCGTTCCACTGATGGTCCTGAGCTCAGGAGAAGCCTTCGAGGATGGCACGGCACGTTCTTCCATGACTCTTTGCATGGGAAGAGAAGAGCAAAGGCAAAACAACGACCCGAGGAAACGGCAAAGCGCAGGGAGGTGTCGGCACAAGAGGTCTGCACAGAGCAGAGGAAGAATGATCGGGGCGACTTTGAAGAAAATGATGTCAACCTTCAGAACCCCATACCGCTCAAAACAGCACACAAAACTCCCAGATGTCCCAGCCGTAAGCACAGAAATCATTGGCCTGCCACAACCTCAACCCACGACTGCTTCTGAAATTCGTAATGTTGTTCTTCTCCAGGTGGTTTTTGATATACTTCCGGGCCCCTGGGCACATAGATGGGCAAACACCTCTGTTGCCGCCCACCAGAGTTATCTGAAGCGTGGGGTAGTAGTAGCGAAGCTCGGCTGCGTATTCGACCTCAGCACCAAGCAGCCAAAAGCTCCAAATCCACAAGTTACTGGTTTTCGTGCTAGTCGCACTACCGTATCATCATAAACCTCACTGTTAATTAGTTATGTTCTTCCTACTATTGTCATTGTTGTTTTTATTGTTACAAAACGATTGGTAGAGAGGCAACATGACATGCCCATCGCTCTGAAACTCACCGAGGCACACCGACATAACCGGCACCGATCACTGCGACATGGGCACCCCGAGCGGCGAGCTCCGACAGTTTCGCATGCTCCTAAGTACCAAGGTAATGCTTCAACTCACACTTCCTTTATCTCTTCGCTTCCATGACAGTGAGATGCTTGTCAAGAACTACCTACTGTCACAAATGGTGGCATTGCTATGTTAACGCTTCCTGAAACGCGACGACAAAAATGAAAGGCAAAGTCCCTTGTGTTCGAGGCTCGCTGTCGATTCGCTCCCGCCGACCCTCGAGACTGCGCTCACGATCTTTCCTGCCAAATACAAACGAAATCCTACAAAATCTTGCGGTGACCGTTTAAGGGGCTGGAGGGTCGCTCTGAAGTCTGGGTCGCGTCTCGTGCTGATGATAGAAATAGCCGCAGACCCCGAACCTCGACATTGAACCCTTCATCACTGAACCTCAAACCCTAAGCCCTAAGCCTGAAAGCCCGAACCTTAAGAACCCGAAATCTTAAACCTAAACCCCAAACGCTCAGAACTCGTTTCCTGGAAGCAAACGCCGTGAACTCGAAGCACCGAACCGAGGAAGCCCGGAGCTGCTGCGTTCGTGAGCGATTCGGTTTAGGGTTTAGGGCCTAGGGTTTAGGGTTTAGGGCTTAGGGTTTAGGGGTTAGCGTTTAGGGTTTAGGGCTTAGGGCTCAAGCATCTGAGGCTCAGGGTTGAGGGTTTAGGCTCAACAGGAACCAGAGCTTACAGTAGGCTTCAGGGTGACGGGGCTTTGTGAGCCCATGGGTCCCAAGAAGCGAAGCGTACCAGAGGTTGCTGCTGTAGTGGCAGCCCGCAGAGATGATACAGTAATCCTTAGACAGTCCCCAGACCATGTTGCTGGTTAAGGGTTCACCTTTGTTTGCTGCTGTAGCTGTTATAGAGATTATGCTAATCATGCTGGCTGATGATGACGAACGGTATGATTCTAATGATACTATTACTAACATCTCCAGCTTCCATGCGGCTCTGGCTTCAGAGCAACGCCATCGTACTGGTAAAGTGACAGTGATGCTGCTGTCGAGGGTCATATGGCAGCGCCAGCAGCTGAGCATTCTTCGTGCTAGTGTTGCTGAGCTGGACCACCACCTGGCACTCGTGTGGCAGCTTGAGGTTCTTAGGTTCATAATATAGGATGTAGATTTCAGGATGTGCCCGGCTCAAAGACGCTGCTGAATAACGAAGATAACTTGATTCCTGGGCCTCCTTCTCATCGATCTTCTTCGCGGCTCCCCAAATCCAAGCCACCTTGACCACAACTAAAACCCTATGCTAATCCGCCTAAGCCCAAAGCTCCCACAACCTTAACTCCTAAACAAGCCATATACTAACCCCAAGCATCCCAAGGAAAGCTGGCGCACTGCACCCTCGATGATGCAAAGCTGTTTGCGGCCGCCTTCATCTTGTTGCACAAGCTCCTGTAGTCCAGCACCAGCCTCCCGTAGAGCTGTGGCTGCGTGTATGGCCGGATCATCCCAGGGGAGAACTCGAAGAACCTAGGCAGCTCATGAAATCTTGAAAGCGTCGAGAATTCCCTCTCAAGGGCGTAGGGGCTTGAGTTCCACTGGTCACTGTTAGCTGGCACCGGAAACAGTACCAGAGCTGCTTCTGGTACTGCTAGCGGTGGTGTTAGCACTAGACCAGCACTAGCACTGGCACTAGCAGTAGTAGCAGCAGCAGCAGCAGCAACATTTCCTTATTAGCCTTAGCCTTATCTTTAGTGTTAGCATTAGCGGTAGCAGTAGCGGTAGCCGAAGCAGCAGAAGTAGCCGTAAGCGATAACAGAAGCAGTAGGAGCAGGAGGAGGAGGAGGAGGAGTGGTGGTGGCGGTGGTGGTGGTAGTAGCAGCTATGCACGCCTCCAGGCGCCTGGTGTTAACCTTGCTTTCGGTCGTTTTGCCGGAATGAGGGTCGAGGCACGATCCCGACCACGACCACGACCACTACCACCACCAGCACTAGCACCACCACCATCACCACCACTACCACTGCTGCTGCTGCTGCTGGTGCTGTTGCTGTTGCAACTACTACTGCTGCTGCTGCTGCTGCTGCTGCTCCTGCTCCTACTGCTACTACTACTACTACTACTACTACTACCACTGCTACTACTACTCTGACAACAACTGTAACTTACCTACGTACGTACCGTTTGTATGTGAATACACACACTCATGCGTGTGTGTGTGTGTGTGTGTATATATATATACACATATAATGTACACATACACACATACATGGATTGACAAATAAAATTGTCCGGAAATGTAATAAAATGTGCGTAAGTTATATGTGTGCTATTCAATTAGTTGTCTCACTATCTCCTGCATTCTTCAAGTGTTTGGCTGCTTGCGTATGTATCTCTGTAGGTATGTTCACGTCGATGTCCACGCTTTCTGTACCTTGATTGACTTGAGAAGAGGGAAAGCTGGGACAAACAAACTAAGCAGAGTTAACAGAGCAAGTGCATTGTTGCGCGCCTGCTCGGCGGGGTGGGCGCATGCACGTATAGGCTAGACGCCGCAAAGACAGAGGCAAGTGTCATGGGGCCATGGTGCTTGAATCTGACCCTAAACATGCGTAGACTTGCCATGGTGCTTGATGAATCCTGCCAAGTCGACACACTAAACCTGCCTACACATACATAAAGCAGCGCCAATGAACAAACTGCACAATCGCACCGCCACTATTCCTGCAATTGCCGCGTTGACCCATGTTGCTTAAACAGAGTGAGGGGGACGGGGATGGACGGGGAATGGGGCCTCCCCTCAAAACTTGTACAACATCACTGCCAACTATACGCAAAACAAACATGTGCGTCGTGGCGCGACAGGGGGGGTTCTCCCGCTTACTGGTGAAAGGACCAAATAAGGTCTGGACATGATTTGGACCTGGGTCACGACTTCGGTGAATTGAACGACAACTCCGTAGAAGCTCTCCAGAAAAAGCTTTCGTGATGACCCTATGCTTTTACGATGCTTTCGCTACCTTCTTCACCTGCTGCCAGGCCACTCCTTGGCATCCACCAAAGTAACTTCAAAGTCCCGGCGAAGCCGCCGGACGGCAGCCAGCCCAGCAAAGCCTCCACCTGGTAGCAAAAGCGGACTGGGTTCATGATGGCTTGAGATGGTTTAGGATTGTATAGGTAGGGTTGTTCAGAGGATTGTGGAAAGGAACTCAGCCCGTGCCTTTCTACCGGCCTCGCTCTTCGAACGGTCAGCAGTCTACAGATGCACGAAGACCGTGACAGATGGAGGCGGTGGACGGATATCATCGACAAACTTGCCAAACAACCATATCATTCGCGATACTACTGCTGCTGCTATCAGCATGTGAATGCCACAGCAGTTGCGCCTGCTGTTGTCAGCACCATCAACAACTTCACACTGTGTCGGCTACGCTTATCTTCCTCCTCCGGCTGCTGCTAGGCTTACTGTGGCTCCTGCTTGAATCTATTCCGGACAGTCTTCTGATGAGGGAGGTGGCACGTGGAACTTTGCGGAGTTCTCGAATTAAGCGCGTCCAAGCCACCGATGACAACCACTTTTTTTTTGGCCACCGGACGAGCAGAGGGCAGGGCCAACGGCACGGACTCGGGCAGGGCCGTCCAGGCAAGAACCAGCGCAGACCTGAAAGCTCCGACCAGACGGAGATGAGAAGGGTAAGTACGATATAAGGACTTGGGTTGTGTCAGAACGGGCATCGCAATGAGGAGGATCAGGATGGTCAGAGCGGCAGAAGCATCACGAGTTCAAGCTTCTTCCTGGAATTGCCGGTCCTGTGCAACGACTCAAACACCTGAGATTCACGCAAGCAAAGCCAGCCCGGCACTGCTCGGGAGCCCACACCTCCACATGTGAAGCCATCACGATGGAAAAAGATCTTCGGGGATTTGATTCGAGTCACCAGGCAGGACTGCTTTTGTCACATTGTTACGATGCAGGTCCTTGGTCCCTGCCTCGTTTACGCCGCATTTGGGGAGCACAGCAACTGGCGGCTGAAAGCAAGATGGCTGCGTGGCAAGAGAAGTGCTGCGCACCAAAAGTCAATAGCTCCTCTTCTCCTTGCTGTTCAAGGCCGCATCATGAAGACCGTGATCATCTCAACTGAAATCTGATGCTATATGCTGGACTGTTCGTACTGATGGTTCGCAGCTAAAGCTACAATCGCACCGACCAGCTCAATACTGGACATGTGCGGGCAAACTCCGTGTGTCAAGCCCCTGGGTCCAAGCCCTATTATTAGTATATAATATATTAAATAAATAAATATATATATATATATAATAGTATAATATAACATAATATAACATAATACAATATAATATAACCGAGGATCCCTGAGGCTTTGGCCCATCCAGCGGCCACACAGAGGTGGCCAACTCGCCTGCTGGTTCAAGCTCACGCTGTCGCAAGCAACATAGGACACGCACGTGAATGCAGGTGTGCAGACATTCCGCCCTTTCATGCAACAAATACATACATACACACATACTTACATACGTATATACGTACATACGTACACACACACCCCTACACCTACACGTACACGTACACATACACATGCACATGTGTGCGTTCTGTTCATGTATCTGCGACTAGTCAGTCAGCCAATCAGCCAGCCAGCCCAGTCAGTTCGTTAGTTAAACAGACAATTCGTTACTGCTAGCTGGCCGGCTCTCTAGCTAGTGAGTTAGCTATTGGTCTTGGCTAGTTGTTGGCTAGTTGGTTCCTTACCTGGGTAGGTAGTCAGATGATTAATCATTCAGCTAGCGAGTTACTAAGTCAGCAAATAACTAGCTAGTTGTTTCGTTCTTTCGATAGTCGGTAGGTAGCTGGGCATGTAACTTGTAAGGCACTGGGCAGGTAACTAGCTAGCTGGCTCGAGCTAGCTAGCTGGCCCGAGCTAGCTAGCTAGCTGGCTAGCAGCTAGGAAGGAAAGGGCGGACTTACTTTTCGTCTGCTGGTCTTTAGATGTACAGGGATGGACGGAAAAGGTGCAGCGGGATACAAGTCTGCCAAAAGCGCTTCTCCTGTACTTGATATCGCATGCAGCAATGTCACGGCACACTTTCTAGAGGTACCGGGGCCTTGTGCTGAAGGTCGCTCTGGACCTTGGAAGATATCAGAGCTGTACGCAGCTGGCCTCCTAGCAAGCAGTGATGCTTGAAGTAAGCTTGAGGGCCGAACCAGAGAGCCTCCTGACGCTCACCGGCCGTCGGCACCTTAGAGGATTCGCGAAAGCGCAGACAAAGCCCAGGCCACGGTTTTTTTGCCAAGCGTTGCTTTGAGGAACACGCCCGAAAGTGCGTCGTAGCCTCAATCAGGCACAGCTCTCACAACAGCTCAGCGGACGAAAGTCCTGACGCCAGGGAAGCTCCTGCAGCTGAGGGCCCGTCAGCCAGCTTGTCTCCTGAGGACTTCTCTATCAGGAGAACCTGGCGGCACTTACAAGCGCTACGTCCACGTCCCAGGCTCCAAGATGGACCGTTACAACCAGATACCCTCCGCTCCCTGGATCTGCCTACTTCCATCTTCGAATCAATAAGGTGGACCTTAAGCCCTCAATCCTGATGAAGCCACCAAAAACCTCAAGCCCAAAAGCCCGGCGATGCATATTCCAAAAGGCACCTCAAGCTTCAACTCTTTTTCCTGCACCCTTAAGCTTGAAGCATCCCGAAACTGTCTGCTAGGTCTTCATCCCAGCCATGTCCGCCTGGGCTTGGAGTCCCCCGTCCGCCTTCCTCTCCTGCCCTGGCATAAGCGATGCTCTTTTTGACGGGCTAGGGCCGCTAGGGGATGAGAGCCTCAAGTCTACTAAACAAGGTGATGACTCTGCGAACGCAAGTAGATCAAGCACTGATCTTTCACACTCCCCCTTCATCGACAGCCCTGGCTCACAGAGGTTCCTGTGAGGCAGCTAGCCTAACAGAAGTCAACAATAAGGATGTCTACTGAGTCTACTGAAAGAGATCCTGGTTTTGAGCCAGGCTCTCCAGTACCTCCTAAACTGTCCTGGACCCCTCAACCCCCACATTTCCCCGTACATTGCTTCCACATTGCTACATTTGGAGTGGGGCTTTTGGGCATATGACACTGAAACGACGTAGGAACAGTGCGGGAAGCATCTATCCCAGAATCCCAAGCTCGCAGGACCAAGAGCCACAGACCCTCAGCCCTGCGTGGACCGGGCGGCGCACTCACAGCATCGCCGGAGAAGGCCACTTGCTCGCCGAAGAGCCACAAAGAACTATGCCCACCTTCCGAGAAAGTCGGGGGCTTAGAAAATGAGGGAACCTCAAAAACTAGTCATATTCATCAAATACCAGGATCTTCGGATGCTGGCTCCCGACACCCTAAGCCAAGAAACCCTGGACCCGAAATGTCTTTCAGGGCTCTGCGCTGTCAAGTTCTGATCCGGCCTTTCATCTCACCCCTTGCAGCGGCAGTCAGCTTGGACTCTGCATAGGAGGACCTTGGCCGACAAGTCCACCAACCAACCAACCAACCAACCAACCAATCAAACACTCCGTCAATCATCCATCCAGTCTTGTGGCCTGATTAAGGCCGTCCTCCTGAAAATCCCGCCGGTGCTCGCAGTGGTCGTTGGTGGTCATGGTCGTCATGTCGTCGTGGTCGTCGTGGTCGTCGTGAGCAGGTGCTCTATCACCGTTTGCCCTGTGGTCGATACATTCGACCACAGCTCTTACAGCAGCTGCTGCTGAAACCTTCTCGACTTCCTAAACCCAGACTGAAGACCCTTCAGACCAAAACAAACCACAATGGGCCAAAGCAGACATGTCCAAAATGCCTCAACGTCACAGAACATCCACTCACTATCACAGCTGAAACAACCCCTCTCCCGTCATCGAGCCCATGACTCTGGAAACAGCGCCAATGTCAGGGCCGCCCGAGGCCTTGGTGGCCGAGACGTTTCACAATGCAGGTAACGAAGCATCGGGACTTCATCACGAAAACAACGACTATCATAGCTACAAGTGCTTCAACTACTTCAACTACAAGCAGCAGCAGCGGCGGCAACGCAACAAGTATGTAATAAACAGCAACGACATGAACAAGAGAAAACGACAAGTATGACAGCGCGAATACTAGCGATTGTACTAGTCGTAACACTCGCCATGGTGATTGCATTGGAACAACCCTACCGGATCTGATAGCACTGTGCGATATTGTGCGGAAGCTTCTGATAAGGCTAATGACGGTGGCGATGCTAATGATGATCACGATGGTCATATTCCTGATGATCTTCATGTTTGGTGATGATGCTGATGGTGATGGTAATGGTGATGGTGATGCTACTGTTGCTGCTGATGCTGATGATGATGACGACGATGATGATGATGCCGATGATGATAATGGTGATGATGGTGTTGGTGATGATGATGATGATGATGATGGTGATGATGATGGTGAGCATGGTGGTGATGGTGATGGTCATGGTGATGGTGATGAGGCTGAGGATGATGATGACGATGATGATGATGATGACGACGAGGATGATGATGATGATGATGTCGATGCCGATGCCGATGCCCATGATTATGATGGTGATGATGATGATGGTGATGACGATGATGATGGTGATGATGATGATGACGATGATGATGATGATGATGAGGAAGATGAGGATGACGATGAGGAGGAGGATGATGAGGATGAGGATGATGAGGAGGAGGAGGACGGTGATGATAGTGAGGAGGAGGATGAGGATGAGGATGATGAGGAGGAGGACGGTGATGATAGTGAGGAGGAGGATGAGGATGAGGATGAGGATGAGGATGAGGATGAGGATGAGGATGAGGAGGAGAATGATGATGATGGTGACGATGAGGGTGGTGGTGGTTTACTGTTGGTGACTAGCATCACTACTCAGCAGATCGGATGTCGAGGTGATTCTACAATTGCTGCCAAATCTTGGCTGGTGCCTGCACATGCGCAGCTCATTTTGCTGTTCACCCCTGAAAGGGCAGTACTGGAAGAGGCGTATCTCGCAGCAGAGCTCAACATTGGGCTCTAGCCACCTGCGCGTCGGGGAGCCAGCCAGAGAGCCCCAAGCAAGCATTACGAAGCCGTTTGGACAGCTATGTCTGCACTCGTATATGAAAAGACTGGGTCAAAGCAGGGCACTGCAATTCGATCGATGGGCCGGCGCCTGTCTCGAATTTCCACGGCTCCCAGCAGGACGCGCCTTGGCAACAGCAGTGCCACTTTCCTAGCTGTTCAGGAATATTGCGCTTCGGATCTGGAGCTGCTTTTTCATCATATTGTGTGATTTTGTCCTGTGTCTCATACGCAGGGAGTTGTTTCCGGGAACACTGAAAAGTTCGCGATCACGGAACTTCATGCCAAGGGCAGGCTTGCTGGGCTTGGTCGCGACACATGTCTGATGGTACTGTCACGGCAAGCAAAGCAGTAGAGTCTTGCATCAACACGGGCAGAGAAACCAACTTTCTGGACGACAGAATCGGTCGCAGCTGGATTGAAATCTCTGTATTTCGGCTTCATGCTTCTCTTCCAGAAAGAACCGTCCGTCTGGTCCAAACGTCTGCACGTGCAAGCCTACATGACGTCATTAAAACACGCAGTGCGATATTGTCAACAAAAAGAGGCCATAATCATCATAATTACAACAATCCAACAGCAGGATGAAGAGGAGTAGCAGTAGTACTAATAGCAGCAGCACAGCAGTGATAGCAGTAGGAGCAGCAGCAGGAGGAGGAGTAGTACTAGTAGGGTTGCGCGCCTCCTGGCGCCTGGCAGTTTTATGTGG